GTACTCGGTTGCTGCTTTACGTTGCTGCATGTGGAGGATATGAAACAAAATATTTTTTAAGTTTTATATATATATTTGAATAACTAAAAAATCATAAATTACTACATTAATGTCATATAATTCCACTATAATTTATAAAGCTAAGTAACTAAGATGTATTTTAGTCTAAAAATATGAAATTTTGAGCAGAATGAAGACACATCCTACCTCGTTGAAATATTAGCTCAAAAGAAAGAATGTCACCAAGCCCGTTAAAATGGCTGAAAAAGCCACTAGAGGGACGTTCTTAGCTTCCGATTGGTTATTCATGTCATATATAAAAGTAAGTGTTTACAAGGAAGCAATCTAAAAATAAAAAGAGGTGGGCGGGTGCCACTGTGTTTGATTTATTAGACGAGAATATCTTAGCAAATTGAAAATATAAGTGGCACTTATTTTATATTATAGCTTGTCAATATCGGTAATTTGAGTATCTAATTCATTCAGAACTATAGACTTAGTATTTTGACTTCACAAACATCTAATTTGAACCAATGATGCATTCAACATACCACGTGACACACTAAAATCAATGTTTATCTGTGTTTTTTTAAATATTTTCTTTTCAATTAAGAAATTGAGTAATATATCGTACTAAAATTTGAATTATAATCTACAGTTTTATACCAAACTTATTGACATAAATTCATGAAATAGTAGTTCAATAAAAGTATGCGAGCCAACAAACGAGATGACATGGCCGTTCACCCATGACCCGTCCCGAAAGGGTGAATATAATGTTTCAAGAATTTAGAAGAACATATATTTGTTAAATACTTGGACTTGTCACGTTGTGACCATCTTATATATACCAGACTACCCCCAATCTAGTAGTCTCCCGATAATTCACGAAGGTTCGAGAAGGACGTGGCGTGATACTAGTCACGTGATCTCGCTGACGCAACAATATATTTGTTAAATAGTTGGACTTGCACTTTACTAAAACCACAAGATAATATGAAAATTGTCATCATAATATTGCATCCTTACGTGGCTAGAAAATAAGTTATAGAAACATTTTTCTTACAAATAAGCCATTTAGTAAATAAAATGATACCACATTCTCCTGCACGTGCAACCCATTTCTGAAATAAATTTTTAGGTATAATTTTTTTTGTGTGTGTATATATATTATTATATATATGTGTGTGTGTGTGTGTGTATAGATATATATATATAT